ACATAAGCAAAAAGAAAAAATCTGGAAGTGGCGTTGTGGTTCAAGTGGTAGAGCGCTAGCCTTGAGCTGAAGAGCTGAGGGACAGTGCCCAGGCCCAGAGTTCAGGCCCCATGACCAGACCCAAATAAATAAATAAACAAATAAAAGAAATGTACTCATTGCCTTACTCATGTAACTGTAACCCCTCTGTACAGCATCTTAACAATAAAATAAAATTTTTAAAAATAAATAAATAAAAAGTGAAAAGATTGACAAATGCTCTTTAAAAAGATCACGATCAGTGACAAAAAGAACTTAGAAGCAAACATATAGAAGTTCTCATTAACCACAGTGAGCCAAACATAAGCATAAAAAATTGGCAAATTGAACCCAAGCACTGGTGGCTCATGCCTATCATCCAAGGAAGCTGAGATATGAGGATCATTGTTCAAAGACAGTCCAGGCAGAAAAGGTCAAGAGAGTCTTATCTCCAATTTAAGAAGTCAGAAGTGGAGCTGTTGCTCAAGTAGTAGAGCACTAGCCTTGAACAAAGTAGTTCAAGGACAGCAGCCAGGCTGGCACAAAAAAATTTAAAAAACAGTAAAAATCAGGGTTACCTCTGGGCACCAGTGGCTCACACCTAAATCCTAGCTACTCAGGAAGCTGAGACCTGGAGGATTATGAAGCCAGTCTGGGCAGATAAATCTGAGAGACTGGAGGCATGGTGTCTTAAGTGGTAGATTATAAGCTGTAAGCAAAAAAGCCAAGTAAGAGTGAAGCTAAGCAATGGCAATAAGTCACCAAGTTTAAGCTCCAGCACTGGCACACTAGCAAAAAAATAAACAGGGTTTGAGTAGCTCAAGTGATAGAGAGCCATTCTAACAAGCCCAAGGCCCTAAGTGCAAACAGAACGAAAAGGAAGGAAGGAAAGAAGGAAGGGGAAGAGAGAGAGGGAGGGAGGGAAAGACAGAGGAGGGGAGGGGAATGTGCATGCTTTGAGAAGTATATGAAGACAGAGTTAAAATGATACAATGCCCAAGACCAGCTTTAAAATACTTCAAGACAAATGAAGGGGAAGGGAGATAAATCTGACAAAATCTTGATAGCACATGAACATGTATGATAAGCATAGGAAGTTTACTATATTATTTTCTGTGTCCACTTTAAAAACAAAAATATATTTTAAAAATATATACGTAATTAATTTCAACAATTTGAAATTGCAATACAACACAAATTGAATTCATTCTCCAAAATAGTTTGATAGTGAATCAGTATTCTTTCCCCTCCAAAACCAACATTGTCTTGAAGACTAGCTATACAAGTTCAGACCAGTATTGTACATAAGGCATATATACAAAAGCTATACAGTTTCTTTACCTCATTTTGATGGTTCTTTACATTCTGCATTGTCTTCATGCTAAAAGACATCACTACAAGCGGAGGAGGACCAGCATCCTTAATTACATTCACCAAGTCTGGTTTCAAAGCCATTGCTTCAAATTTACACCAACTGATTGGCTGATTCAAAAGCTCTGAAAAATAGATGCAACACATCAATAGATACTTACTGAAAAAGTACTATAATTATGACATCTGTGATTAACTGAGATATTCTTCTAATAAGAATGACACAACATCTAACTAAACATAAGATTCTTCTGTGGGAGGTGGGGGAGGGAAGGGATAGTGGGACAACAACAAGGGAAGGGGTAACAATGATTGACAAGTAATGTACTCATTGCCTTACTCATGTAACTTGTAACTGTAACCCCTCTGTACAGCATCTTTACAATAAAATAAAATAAAAAATTTTAAAGAAAGATTCATAAATCCTCTCTTCTAATGACATAACATCTAACTAAATATAAGACAAATTTAGTGGGTGGTATGCCAATCTGTATGTGTGTTTGATTTCTTAGGGGGAAAAAAAAAGGTCCATAGCTTTTATAAAATATTCCAAAGAAAAGACCTAATATAGGCTTTTAAAAAATCAAAATAATGGCAGGGCACTGAATGGCTCACACATATAATACTAGCTACTCAGGAGGCTGAAATCTATTTTTCTTTGCTAGTCCTGAGCCTTGAACTCAGGGCCTGGGCACTGTCCGAGCTCCTTTGCTCAAGTCTAGCACTCTACCACTTGAGCCACAGTGCCACCTCTGGCTTTTTCTGTGTATGTGGTACTAAGGAATCAAACCCAGGGCTTCATGCATGCTAGGCAAGCACTCTACCACTAAGCCACATTCCCAGCCAAGGCTGAGATCTAGAGGACTGCAATTCAAAGAAATATCTGTGAGACAGCAAAATAATCAGTAAAAAAAAAAAACAGGTTAGAGATGTGGCTCAAGTGGTAGAACAGCAGCTGAGCAAGCAAGCTGAATCTAGCACAAGGCACTGAGTTCAAACTTCAGTACCATAAAAAATAAACAATGCCTTGGAGGAATCATAACAAACTTTAACTTCCCTTTAAGAAACCACATCATCTACCAGCAATCTACTTAGCATTTATCCTTACGTGGATTTTTTACTTCAAGCCAACACGGTCCTTTGATCTTTCTGTTCATCAAGAACAGTTCCAAGCTGGATGTGTTAGTTCCAAATACATGAGAAAACGTTTCTCCTTTCAAATCCTGAGGAAGCTGAGGCATTTCCGCCTAAAAAAGGAAAAACAAAAAGCTCTTTTGTTTAAAACTATTACTTCACATTTTTCAGTCTATATTCGAAATAAACAAAAGGCTCTCTATGAAGTAGAAGAAACCCCTTTGATATATATGAAATGTAATTTGCCACAAATGAAATCCAAAACAATTCACAGTAGGAAACAAAAACAATTCACAATGACAAAATAATGCATCTTGATGATACCCATTAGAAGAAAAATAGGACAAGAAGCTCCCCCAAAAAACAGAATTTCTGTCCAGAGCCATGCATGCCTCACTGATAAAGAATAGCCAAGTAAGTAGCACTCCATTAGAAGAATGGAAAGCAATAGAGTGAGACTCATTGACAATGTTTCCATGTACTTTGCATCACCACTGTCAAAAACATTTCTTAAAAGTTTCTCTTTTCCAACATCATGGGATCCAAACACTAGAACAGAGGTAAAAAGAGGTTAAAGTCCAGTTAATTAACACCCCACAGCAATGACCTTGCCTGCCACAGGAGCAAGAGGAGCGCTATTGCGATGCTACTGACACTCCTCTCTCACCTTTCAACTGCTCACAAGAGACACTTCAACAGACTAATGATGTCCAACTCCATCATGTAGCATTTATTCCACTTGACAAATTGTTGTGCTGTTCCAATTCATTTAAAGATACATACTTAAAAGCAGAAAGAAGCAGTATAACCTGTAGTCTTTGTACTTAAATTAATTTTACCCATTTCAATAAGTCTACCTCAATGAACTGTGGGCTTAAGGAGCCTTAAATACTTCTCACTGAAAGCCAGATGAAAGTTCAAAAACAGAAAAATGCTGAAAAGCCAACACCCAGTAATTTTTTTTTTAGTTTAACTTACCGAGTATCTAACTTCTAAGTAGTCAGACTTTTCTGGAACATCAGGTATTTCAAAAGCATAATTCTTTTCCACTGTCTGGGTAAGCAGATTATTTTTAAAACTTATTAGGAAAAAAATGCTTCAAACATTAAACTGGTCAGTAAAACATGCAAATACATGTTCCTTATTTAATATGCACATATCGAGTATCCTAACAGAACACAAAGGTAAGTAAAGCCAGAAAGACATCCTTTCCTCTTTCACCTTCTACAAAAACACTTAGTGACAAAATGCTAAAAGAACTTCTCCTAAACGATTTTAGGAGAAGTTACAATTTTACTGTATTAGATTTGTTACTAGTTCATATTAAGGAATTTCATTTGCTAAATAAGAAATGTAATTATAGCTCATATGACTGAGTATTGGCTATGTATCAAGGGTCTTTAATCACTTATTATGAATTAATCCAATAAATTCTTAATTTCAACAACTTATAAGCCCTATTTCTCAACACAAAGAAATTTCTCAGCTTTGGGCACTTGTCCAGTCACATACCAGTAACCAGCAAGGTAAGATTTAAAGTGCAAGTAACTGGGCCCCAGTACCTATGATCTTTACCACTAAACCACATCATCTGGCTTTGTTTGTGGTTCATTTGTTTGCATTACTGGGGATCAGACACAGTGCTTTGTACACTGCTGTTGGAATTTTAAAGATGTGGCTTGCCATAACTAAAATGCTCAAATAACTAAGATTGTATCTTTAGCAACTGAATTTTCCCTTTATGGTAATCACTATTAACAACCAGCATTCTGAGTGGGCTTTCAACCCCTGCAATTATGGCCAAAGACATCAAAATCAAGATAATATATTATATATAATCACATGAATAAAAGATATCCATTCTATCAGAAATAGAATCATATTCCAGATTTCCTCAAGGTAAAAAGTTACTTAACCTTCTACTCCAAATACATTGACAGGAACTAATATAAACAAAATAAGAATCGTTTCTTCTCCATTTCAGACTAACAGTAAATATATTAGAAACACTAAAAGCAATTAATTTGCTTTGAATTATCTTCCTTTCAAATCCATGGCCATTACTTCATAAGCATTTTAAAAATAAGTAAAACTTAATTTTACAAATATAACATAGTGTTATTACATTCAAACATCTGAGATATCCATTCCAGGAGTTATAGCCAAGCTGAAAGCATTTTGCATAAAGTAGACATGTAATAACTATTTGCAATTCAGGAAAGAAAAACAAAGGGTGAGAAAAAAATTCTTCATCAAATACAAACCTTAGACTTGAACTTCATAATCTTATATTTTGCTGCTATACTCTCATCAAATTCATCATAAATATCCTTCATTGTAACTGGAGCTCCTGTTTCTTTCCCTGTATTTAGATCGATTCTCTGTTCACCCATGGAAAGGAGAATGAAGGAGAAAAAGTGTTCATAAGATCTTCTCAGCTACCAGAAACCCAGATCTAAATCAATGTTCATCCTCACCCATTTAAACACTTAATAGCATCTCACAGATGAATTCAAAGACACAGAGCTAAAAGAAAAAAAATGTACTAAACTCAACATTCTAGTGTTCCCGATGCATCATAAAGACAAATCAGAGATAAAAGCAATCAATCCTATAAAATGGGAAATTATAAATCCTGTCCAAGAAGTTCTACAGTTCAATTCAGATTGGGAGAAACACAGAGCTAGGACTGAGAGGATTGGAGATGTTAAAACTCTTAATAAAAAGTGTAGAAGCTGCCAAACGCTGGCGGCTCACACCTGTAACCTTAGCTACTCAGGAGGCTGAGATCTGAGGATTATGGTTCAAAGCCAGCCCAGGCAGAAAATTCCTGTGAGACTATTATCTCTAATTTACTACCAGAAAACAGGAAAGTGGAGCTGTGGCTCAAAGTGGCAGAGTGCTAGCCTTGAGCAAAAAGAATTCTGGGACAGTACCCATGCCCTGAGATAAGAATCTCATGGCCTTTTCTAGAAAGGAAGCAAATGGAACTGTTCTTGTTAAATGGCCATGGAAAAAATGTCACTGAGGAGGGCTGGGAAGGTGGCTTAGTGGTAGAGTGCTTGCCTTGCATGCAAGAGGCCCTAGGTTCAATTCCTCAGCACCACATAAAGCAGAAAAAGCTGAAGTGGCACTGTGGCACAAGTGGTAGAGTAGTAGCCTTTAGCTGAAGAGCACAGGAACAGCGCCCAGGCCCAGAGTTCAGGCTCCATGACCAACAACAACAACAACAAAAAGAATGTCATTGCTGAGTATGCAGTAGAAGCATGAACACTGAGACAAAGGGAGATGCCTTAGCATCTCCAGCCTCATAATTAAGTAAATGAATAAGAGAAAAGATAGTATTATATATTAAAACTCAGACATTTTTACTAACTTGAAAAAACTCAATTCCACTTCCTTTTTCTACTTTTCCCAACCTCTAATGAAATTGTTGACAATTAGTGGTCAGACAAAAGAATCAGGGTTATAGAAAATTCATACCCTGTTGAATGACAGAGTTGGCAAAGTTGGCAGAGTTGGCAGAATATAGAATGTATGTCATATACAATCACTGAGAACTGAAAGCTTATCGCTAACATTTACCATTTCACGGGGAAGGAAGTACAGCGTTCGCTCAATGTTTTTCACCATGATACAACAGCTCACATGGGTCTTGGCTGAATCAACCCAAACTTTGCCAAACAGAAATACCACACCTAAAAGAATAAGGAAAAACCATGGGAAATGAAACATATCAATTATATGCAATGAAAAAGGTCAAAATAAATGCACAACTGAATGTTTCCACATTATCTATGCCTTCATGGTTACTCATTTGAACAGAAAATATACATCTGCTATCCATCCACTCCCTAAGTCAGATAAGTCCATTACTCAGTACTTAACACCATACACACTACCACAATTATATATACAATGTAACCATTGGAAAAAGGAAACAGAATAATTCTAATTTAGCATAAACACTATCTCTATGACTAGGATTACCCAGATTAAGAGAAACAAAACCAGCAAAGTATTCTCCAACAAATTTTCTATTTAAAGCATCTTATGAGAATTTACAAATCTGATAATTCACAATTTTTTTTAGTATTTGAAATTACTGATAAAAAGTAATATTCATGTATTAGGCTAAGAATGGAACATCAGTAATTTTCTGTATGCAAACCTGTATTTAGAAAAACAATTTATCTCATCTATTGCATGTAATAGTAAATACTCCTAATAGGGTTATACTATAATCTATTTTACCCTTGCTTATCTCATAAGCTACTTAAAATATCTGGCTAGGCAGAATTAATAATAGTCCTTTCTTTTCTAATTCAGTTTAACAAGGGTTTAATCAGTAGACACCTTCCTTCTGAAATCCCTAAATAATAAATACCACAACATAAAAACTTGCCTGTTCTCAATATCAAGTCATTATTCATGAAAACTGGCCATCAAGAAAGGACTCTAAAGATCTGATCACCTGCCCAAGGGATGGTCACTGTGCAAAATCCTGGGCTCTGTGAATTACACAGCAGTAATCAACATAACCACTCAACTCAGCCACTTATCTGAAACACTGCAAAAATTGTGACACATGCAAAGGTTATTGTGCAGAAAAACAATTACCGCAGTTTCATAAGACAGCTCATCAGTGTTTCCTTTTGTCACTCATCCTGGTACAAATAAGACCATCTACAGGTTCTCATTTCTGCAGATGATTAAAACTCACACAAGAGTTGTGTGATTTTCGGTGAGGAGGGGGGAGAAGCAAAGGGGATAAGGGAGAGGGAAGAAAAGACTGTGGGGATGATTTAAAGAAAAAAAATCACAGTAGTTCAGAAAATTAGAAGTCATCCTCACAACAGCTAAAGATGGAAAAACAAAATTCCATGCAAAGAAAAATAAAGACCCTAATATTGGATTCAAAGATTCAAATAGCTCATTTTACAGTCAAACTAATATCACACTTCATGCAACACATTTGACACTGTTTATGCCTCATTTGCCACAAAAAGATCATGGTAAACAAAGATTACATTCCCCCCAAAGTTACTAGCTGAAACCAGGTGCAGTAGGATTATTCAACCTTGAAAAAGTCGTAATGAAGACAGGATATCTTCCCATATGCAAAGAGTAAGATTCTTTTCATAATTATGCCACATTCAGCAACAACTGACTGACTTAGAATCTGTAAGAAAGTGAGAAACAATAACAGGGTCTTTGGGAGTACTTCGTTTTTATTAGCTGCATTGATTTCTCCAAAGCTCAGTGATCATTACCAACTATCACGATGAAACTGTTCAACCCTCTGAGATTAAAGAACTTTGTAAGCTATTTATTTAACCCATTGGCATCAAAAACAGAAGACAGAGAAAGATGTACCACTGCTTAGGTTACAACTTGAGAAGTACTCCAGACAGAAAAGTAGACTGAGGGTGAGAAGCTCAGACTTTTACCACTAAAGGGTCAAATACTTCACTCCCTGGAGCCTCCTTTTCCTCCTAAGTAGATGAACTATATAGGTTTTTTGTTTGTTTGGTTTTCTTTCTTTTTTTGCTGGACCTGGGGCTTGAACTTTGGGTCTAGGTGCTATCTCTGTTTGTGCTCAAGGCTGGTGCTCTACCAATTTAGCCACAGCTCCATTTCCAGCATTTTGGTGGCTAATTGGGGATAAGAGTCTCATGCACTTTCCTGCCCAAGTTGACTTCCAACTGAGATCCTCAGTTCTCAACCTCCTGAGTAGCTACAATTACAGCATAGGTCACTGATGCCTGGCTATGAACTAATTTCTGAGGCCTCCTCCAGCACTAAAAACTTCATTTTACTATAGCATTCAGATGACAGACCTATAACAAATTACTAACTCAATTGCAAAACCAAAAAAAAAAAAATACTGGGCAGAGTGGAACAAACTTAGAGTACCAGCTACCTGGGAGCCCAAGATAGCGAAGTGGATTGAGCCCCAAGAGTTCAAGGCCAGCCTAGAAAACATAGTGAAAACCTCATTTCAAAAAAAATTAATTGCCAAATACTTCCTAGGGCTGGCTGTGAAGCTCAGCAGCAGAGCACAGCTAAGCATTGACAAGGCCCTGGGTCCGATCACTAGCACCACCAAAACAAAAAAGGCCTACCCAATGACAATGGTCAATATCAGGAACTCAACTATATATTATAAATTGGTTGATCTCAAAATACAGCTGTCCAGCCAAGCACCAGTGGCTCATGCCTATAATCCTACTCAGGAGGCTGATATCTGAGGATCAAGGTTCAAAGCCAGCCCAGGCAGAAAAGTCCATGAGATTATTTATCTCCAGTTAACCACTAAAAGACCCCAAGTGGAGCTGTGGCCCAAGTGGTAGAGCAAGCAATAGCCTCCAGGGAAAAAAAAAAAAAGCCAAGGGACAGCACCTAGGTCCTGAATTCAAGCCCCAGTACTAGTATAAAAAAAAGTGTAATAAGATATTCAATTTAGTCACAGACAGGCCCAGAATCAACCATGAGAAAAATCTGTTCAATTCAAGGACAATCTTTTGTGATAAATTATCCTACTTCAAAATAGAATGAACCGCTTCGGGCATCACAGGGGCATTCTAGGCACTTCCTGTGTCAATTCCATCTTCCCCTACAAGGAGATGACAGCAAGATCCCTCATTGGTAAGTCACCCCTATGAATTCTTAAACTTAATGCACTTCTGTTCTGTTGACTGATCATTTTCTCCAACTCTCTTCTATTTTTTTGGGGGGTGGGGGGGGTGGTCCAGTCGTGGGGCCTGAACTCTGGGCCTGGGTACTGTCCCTCAGCTCTTCAGCTCAAGGCTAGCGCTCTACCACTTGAGCCACAGAGCCACTTCCGGCTTTTTGCTTATGTGGTGCTGAGGAATCGAACCCAGGGCCTCAGGCATGCAAGGCAAGTGCTCTACCACTGAGCCACCTTCCCAGTCCCTCTCTTCTAGCTTTTGATATTTATGTATATAACATTGAACCTGATCATAACTTTGGGAATATTTGGGGAGACAAGGTGAGGGAAAGGGAAAGAGAAATGGAGAGTGAACAATATCAAAATACAATACATTTATGTATGAAGATGGCATAAGGAATCTCATTGAAAGCCATTAGACAATAGGGGGAAGGGGTGGGGAAAGAGCAATAGAAGGGATTATTCTGATTGAAATATATACATGTGCAAAATACAATGGTAAAATCCCGCTGTACAATACATACTAAAAAAATTACAGGAGAGTAAAAGGCTTTTGGGGGAAGCAGACACCAATGGAAGAGGAAAGGGTGAATGAAGGTGAATGAAGAAGGTGAAAACCTTATAGGCATGTATAAAAATAGAAAAATGGCACGGTGCTGGTGGCTTACCCTTGTAATCCTAGCTACTCGGGAGGCTGAGATCTGAGGATCTCAGTTCAAAGCCAGCCCAGGTAGGAAAGTCCGTGAGACTCTTATGTCCAAAAAAATCACATGCCATTAGTGGTAGTGGCTCAAGTGGCAGAGTACTAGCCTTGAGCAAAAAGGAGCCCAAGGATAGCACTCGGGCCCAGATTTCAAGCCCCATGACTGACAAAGAAAAACATTTTTAAATGAAAAATGCTGAAAGTGTTTTAAGTAAGGGGAAGGGGACAAAGGAGAGCTATAAAGGGATGAGAATATTAGGATACATCATATACATGTATGGAAATGTCACAATGAAAACCCCTCCCTCTTGTATAACTACTGTATGCTAATAACAAGTCTTTAAAAATACATGTTAAATGTCTCTACTTCTTCTCCTCAGCCTCCAGGGTGGAAGTAAGTAGTATCTCTTCCCTGGACTGACTGATCTCCAGGGCCTCCACAATTGCATGCTATCTCACCCATCTACATGTACATACAATTCACACAAAGCCTATTCTTCACACAAATCAGAGGGTTCCTGTTAACATGAAAACAATTATGAGACTACCACCCACCTGCACTACAAGTCTTTTAACACTTACCCATTGTTCTTTTTCATTATATTTGATTATCTTTAAGTAGCTGTACAAAGTAGTTACCATTCTACAAACTGGTTTATGAATATAATACATCTTGATCAATGTTACCCTTACATCATTCTCCCCTCAATCTCTCCCCTTAATCTTAATTTCATAGGATATGCTGTGAATACTATGACTGCATCCCCGCTCCCCATATTCTCTCTTCATTCATCTACCCTCCTCTTGACATCTCCTACCTTCTAAGTACCATTTCCTGGGATTCATTTTGTTGAACTGTGAGTCAGTTTTTGTAGAGAATTACAATGTCTGAATTCTCCCCTGAAAATGCCACGCTTCAGTTAATACAATTGTGTATATTAATGCTGGGAGCTGCTGGTTCATGCTTGTAATCCTAGCTACTCAGGAGGCTGAGACCTGAGGATCGTGGTTCAAAGCCAACCAGGGTAGGAAACTGCACCTCCAATGAACCACCAGAAAACCAGAAGTGGCGCTGTGGCTCCAAGAAACAACACTACCCTTGAGCAAAAGATAGTATCCAAGCTCTGAGTTCAGGCCCCAAGACAGACCAAAAAAAAACAAAAACAAACAACTGAGTACACTTGCATACAACCCCATGTGTTATACATCTGTAAATTAGTTCTAGCTTCCACATATAAGAGAAACCATCCTCCAACTAATATTCTTTATAGCATTTATCAATTTATTTAGCACTAATTTCCTGCCACCCACGTCCATGCCAACAGAATGTAAGTTCCATTTACATAGGGAATTTATCCAGTTTGCACATTCCCGTGGTCCCTGATTTCACTTAAAGTGCATTCCTATAACTTCAGGTACATCTAGGGTATACTACAAACATATCCCAAAACCACATATTTGGAATAAGAATCTTTTTTTTTTGGTCAGTCATGGGGCCTGAACTCTGGGCCTGGGCGCTGTCCCTCAGCTCTTCTGCTCAAGGCTATCACTCTACCACTTGAGCCACAGCACCACTTCCAGCTTTTTCTGCTCACGTGGTGCTGAGGAATCAAACCCAGAGCCTCATGTACGCAAGGCAAGCATTCTACCACTGAGCCACCTTCCCAGCCCCTGGAATCTCTAAGGATTATTCACCCCACAGTTCTTCTCTATCAGGGTGACTGAGGGTGACTGAGACATGTTACAATTAATAAATACTGCTCTACTATGATGCAAGTGATTAAGGCCAGAACCTGTGCCAATTACATACAGTAAAGTATTTCTAAGAAAAGGTACTTTGGGGCTGGGAATGTGGCTTAGTGGTAGAGTGTGCACCTTGCATGTATGAAGCCCTGGGTTCAAGTCCTCAGTACCATATAAACAGAAAAGGCCAGAAGTGGTGCTGTGGCTCAATTGGCAGAGTACTAGCCTTGAGCAAAAGAAGCTCAGGGACAGTACTCAAGTCCTGAGTTCAAGCCCGGGGACTAGCAAAAAAAAGTGCTACCCCATAATAAGGGCCTATGTCTACCTAGCGTAGATTACCTGGTTGACTGTACTGATCTTCATAAGCATCCAGCCAATAAAACTGAAATACTTCATCTTCATCTGCCCCTTTCACCAATGGGAGGTGACTGGAATCCACTTGGACTTCCTGAGCTGAGAAACTGCTGTCATCTTCTAGATCAATGTCCCAACAAGAGACATCTGGGAGAAAATTTCCTCTGCAGAAATCATATTTTCAAAAATCAAAATCCATCAGGATAATTGGAGTGCTACGTGCCAGTAAAGTCATAAAATGCTCTTACAAGCAAGACGTGGTCCCTTTCCTAGGATCTGACTCATGTTTCACCCCTTCTGTGGGTTCACTCTCTTGGTCCCAAGTCTTGGCAGCCACAGGCTCCATGTCCACCTTCCGAGTATCCATGGGCTCAGCAAAGTCATCATCTTCAAACTCCATTGCACCTGACGCCTCCTCTTCTGGATGTTCTGAGTGCACCTGATCTCCTATAGGCAGCATCATACATTCCTGTCACATGCTGGTGCAATAAGGCACAAAAGAACTTAACACTGAAATTGCAGACTAGCCCTTTTCCTACATTTTCCAAGTCAAATGTTGTTAACTTTTACTGTTATGAATTTCAATCCGTCACATTTAGCTTGGGCATCACAGTATTTTCAAAATCACCTCCACTTCCCCTATCATGGAGCCTCTGTTTGTGACAGCAACTGTTCAACACCTATGCACTTCTGCCTGACGTCAGACTTACCAGCAAACTCAGCATGTTTAAAAGGAACTGGAGTTAATGATAGCTCCTTCCTGGGGGCAGGAAAAGCAGTTTTCCCTGAAGGAATTACCTGTAAACATTTTTAAATGTTTAGTCAGTTAGACCTACATACTAAAAATACGCAACTGTCCTACCCTGACCAGAGATAATGACAGTTCCCATTTATAGAAAGATTTCATGTATTATTAACACAACAGCTTCAATTATTTTACTGTTACCTAGGTTTATAAAAAAAATACTTGTTTCCAGGAAGAAAATTATTGCATTTAGCACAGTTGTAATACCTATAATAAATACATACTAGTTACTACAAAATTTGCTGTGAAAAAAAGCAGGCACATGCTATTTTTGAAATACATGAAAGTATATATTGAATAGTAGTCCTAATTTAAAATAAAAAACAAAAACAAATCCTAAAGCATATCCTTCACATAAACAATAAAATAAACGTAATCCAATACCATAAATCAAGACTAAAGCTATCCTATCTCTACACACTTTACCTTAGGGGTAAGCACAGAGAAAGGATTCAGAGAAGCTCCAGTGGATCTTTTCTTCTTTGATATTATTACGGGTGGGAGAGTTGTTTGAGATGTCTGAAAGTGTAAGACAGACATTGACTGTCACACTTGGTTTACCACATAACAGATAAAGTACATTTCTTCACCCACTGAAGCCCAATAAGTAAAGCATTTTCCTTCCCTCCCTGCCACAGCACCCCCCCCCCCGGCCCCGGCCCAGGATCTATGTTCGTGCACTGTGGTTACTATAGCAACAATAGTACAGAAATCATTAGAAAACCAGAATAGATATTGAATCCACCCCTCACCAATTTTTTTCTTTTTAAAATTTAACATATTTTCACTTACCCTCCCAATATAGTACATTTTTAAATTATTAAGAAAGAACTGTATAGCATTGGCATTACTCATTTTAATCAACAATTGCTTAGAAAGAAGTACATCTCTAAATAAAATCTTAACCTTTATGAGAAATGGCAAATGTTTGAATCTGTGGTACAGCTAAGCCTGTTCCAATCCTACCACAGATAGCTCACTGACTTCCTTCATTCCCACTTAGAATTTAGGATGAGGATCCCATGTCTGAATGTACAGATCGTCAGGCTTCAATCTATTTAGGGAACATACACTATAACAACTGAACACACGCAATGAACATATACAGTAGCAACTCCTAGGTGTATTCTTACTATTTCCAACATACACCCATACCACCCTACCTACATAACCACACAGTTCTAACAGCTGGAAACCACTCATCTGAAATGGTGAGAAGAAACTAATTTAAAGGCTTTGTTTTTGTTTTTAAATTTGTATGGTTTTTGTAATAGCATTACTCTGTGTTTTTTTTCTTTGTGCCAGTACTGGGGCTTGAACTCAGTGATCAAGGCAATTTCCTTTAGCTTTCCTGCTCAAGGCTGGTGCTCTATATTTGAGTCACACTTGCACTTTCAGCTTTTTGCTGCATACCTGTAGATAAGAGCCTCACAGATCTGTCTACCTAGGATGGGTCCAAACAATGATCCTCAGCTCATAGCCTGCTACATAGTTAGGATTACAGACTTGAGGCACCAGCACCCCACTTGTCCTTGCATTTTTTTTTACATTCTAGCAATAGGTTGTTTGTGTATTGACTGAATTGTTTCTTCAGCCTATGCTCCCTGCATATTGTAGAATACCTACGCATTCACTTACCTCAGTGCTCAGATCCTGTAGAATGTCACCTAGCAAATCATCTTTTGCCAAGTCCACTGCTTTCTGAAGATTATAAAGGAAAAAAATGAGAAAACACTCGACTTAAATTTTTTCACCCAGGGCTGGGAAGGTGGCTCAGTGGTAGAGCGCTTGCCTTGCATGCTCGAGGCCCTGGGTTCGATTCCTCAGCACCACATAAGCAAAAAGAAAAAAGCCAGAAGTGGTGCTGTGGCTCAAGTGGTAGAGCGCTAGCCTTGAGCTGAAGAGCTGAGGGACAGTGCCCAGGCCTAGAGTTCAGGCCCCACCACCGGACCCAAAAAAAAAAAAAAAAAGTTTAAAAATAGAGAAAAGAGCCAGGCATTGGTGACTCACACCTGTAATCCTAGATACTCTGGAGGCTATGATCTGAGGATAGCAGTTGGAAGCTAGCCCAGACAGGAAAGCCCCTGAGGCTCTCTCCTCTCTTATCTCAAATAAACCACAAAGAGAGAAAATGTACTAGACAGCAAAAGCGGAGGTGCGGGGGTGGACGGACAGAGAGGAGAGAGAAGAGGAAAGAGACAAGAGAATAAAGAAAAGAAAGGAGAGTCAATAGATGCTGAAAATATTAGGTGAAAATTCTTGAAGAAAATGGAACATATACATAGTCTCAAATCATCAGCCCACATTTGTATGAGTTGCAATAGTTTTATAAGAAAACCAATACAGGGGAAAGGCGGGTGGGGGAAGGGGTGAAGTTAGGGAAAATGAGGGGGGGGGTAACACTGTTCAACAAGAAATGTACTCATTACCTTACTTTTGTTAACTGTAATGCCTCTGTACATCACCCTTACTGTAAGATTAAATTTTAAAAAGAAAGCCAACATAATACACCTTACAAAAATATCAAACAGCTTATCTACTACAATGGGATGAATGATATTATATGCCCCTGATAGGATCAATGGGAAGGACAGAAATTCACCTTTACTCTACATGTTCCCACAATATTTATTTAAAGATAAGTATCTCTTCCTTGTTGCTAAAATATTTGACTTCAATCTAATCATAATGAAGTGATCAGGCAAATCTCAGATTATGGGAGACCTGACAAAAACTAGGCTATTCCCTTTAAAGAGTTAAATGACAGAAAAGATAAAAAGAAAATATGGGAAAGAGATTGTACTACAATAAAGATACATGAAAACAAAAGTAGATTCTGCCATTCAAAACACAGCTATAAAAGACATTACTAGATTAACTGAAGAAATTGTACTATAAACAATATATTCGATAATACCATCATAATGGTTAGGTAGTTAAGCAAACAAGCATGCTCGAAGGAAGTCATCGCTGAAATTCAGAGTGTTCATCAAAACCAAATTTCTAGGTATACCATTAGGAAGAAGGAGAGAAAACAAATGTTGCAAAATGTTAATCTGCAAAGGAAGGTCCAGTCCATTTCTAAGCCCCCAGCAAAATAGCACAGATGTAAGGTTTTGTGGCCAAATAGAATTCTCTAACGCTAGCTCACATTCATCCTTATAACTGTCTTTTAAAAAAAAAACACCCTTAAGGAATACAAAACTTAGCTCAAGGGCAAAACACAAACAGGATTTTTCTCCTAGGGTACTGAGAATGTCCTATAAATATTATGTGATAATTGTGCAACTCTGTACTGTACTAAAAACTGAAAAACTATAATACTAAAGCCCAGCTTTGAGCCAGGTGCCGGTGGCTCACACCTGTAATCCTAGCTACTCAGGAGGCTGAGATCTGAAGATCATGGTTCAAAGCCAGCCGGGGCAGGAAAGTCAGTGAGACTCTTATCTCCAAGAAACCACTAAGAAAACTGGGAATGGTGTTGTGGCTCAAGTGGTAAAGCACTAGCCTTGAGCTGAAGAGCTGAGGGACATAGCCCAGGCCCAGAGTTCAAGCCCCATGACTGACAAAAAAAAAAGCTTTGAGCTGGCCAAGTTTGCTGACCCCTGATTGGCCACTTGGTGGTAGAAGACTACTTAACAAACCACACACACACACACACACACACACACACACACACACACTCTCTCTCTCTCTCTCTCTCTCTCT